CGGCGGGATCCCGAGCGGAGTCCGCGCGACAATGTTTCCATACGGAGCTGCTCGCTCATTAGTTGCTCCGTTACGTTCGCTACGTTCGCCGTGGCGTTTTCCTTATCGTCGATCACGGCCCGGAATTAGGCTTGTCTCCTCGGTCCCCGGTCGCCGCCGCTCGGGTCCTGCCTGGCTGTGCCCGAGCGCTCTGGCTCCTATCCAGCCCCCCCNCCCGCTGCACCGCCAATCTCTCCCTTGTAGCGAGTTTTAAATTAATTTTTCTCAATAAATCGTCGTTTCCTCGATCGTAAATTATCCCAAGTCCGAACACGACGTTGCTAAATCGGGGGGATGAACGCGGGCTACCCGCGGGATGGCGGATATCCACCCGGTGCAAGTGGCGACTGGGCTTGTATGTTTTAATATGCATATTATATGCATTTATATGTACACACATGATTTCATGCGAGTCCGAGTTCCCAACATGCTGGCGCGGCGTTGCCCGACGCTCGAGGGAAAACCCGGGGACACCGCGAAGAGGCGCTCATGCCCGACAGCGAAGGCTTTTCTTTTCGTCGATGGGAAGTTTTTTTTATTGAGACTTGGAGTGTGCTCATTATTCGGCGATTCAAAGTTTATGGTGATTTTTTAGAGAGAGTTTGGGAAACTGATTTTGCATCGTATGCTACTTAAAATCGTTCTGTTTGGTGTTCTAAATATACAGGCAGGGTATGGTGATCCTGAGGTCCAGGACCAGGCACCTCTTCAGTTAACTTTTGAACAAATCGAATTGGAGACTTGAATTTTTTAACTGATCCTAGGTCAAAGAAAGCTACTTTCGGGATACCCCCCCCCCCCCAAAAAAAAATGAAGGGGACCTCTCTGAATGAGAATAAGAATCATAAAGTACAAACGGATAGTGCGAAATTTTTCAATCACCCTGCATGGCTTGATTGATAGACCCGTCCGGAATGATTTTTTACAAGAGATCCGGAATGTAGTCTCCTCTTTATAATCATCGTCTAATTTCTATTGAGTAGTTCATGATCTTAATTTTAGTGAAGTGAAATAGAAAGGACTTGAATGAAAACAGAATTTTTTGGGTCTTCATGACCACTTAAAGGAAGAACATTGTTCCTATTCAGTCGTTTTTGGATTTTCAAGGTTCCTAGGGAAAAATGAAGAATTTGGGCTATTCTGATCAGCTGACAACACAGCGTAGAGTAAGGCGCACGGACACACGCACCCTAGTTTATGTCGTGCGTGTGTTTGTGTCTGAGGCAAACCTGCTGCCTCCATGCCACACACAATGCTGCTAGATTGTCAATCAGAATACTATTGAATATTCGCAATCGTGCAAATTTCGATACTCGACACGACGTATTAACAATCGGTTTCAATGATGTGGCAATGCCGCGCGCCGGATTAGTTTTAGCTGAAAAGCGGAAACGGGCTGAATAACCTGCATTTTGTGAATTACGAGTATTATTCTTTTCGCACTTCATCATATTTAATTTAAAGCGTTAATCTGTCAATGCTACATGAGACTAAGCTGAATCAAAGTGTAGTTTTTATAAGTCGTAAAAAATACTGGTTAGTTTTTATTTTTCTTGCTCAGAGACAGAGACAGTATTTTCTTTCAGGTGTTAAAATTTATTATTCGAGCTATGTGAGCGTGATGAGTGTTACACAGTAAATAGTGTTTTTCTCACTCGGGTAATATGGAAAGCGCGGCATAACGATTACTTAGTTTTAACGCAAGTTCGTCTCCCAGAAATTTTTCCAAAACAATGATGGAAGGAACCTAGAAAAGACTTCGATTTTGGTTAAGTTTCCGTCAATTATCATAGCCCCCCCCCCCTCTTAGAAAACGCTGCAAAACGATCGATAATAAAGCAGTTTGTTTGCTCTGGGCGGCTCTATCAAATATATAAACATACTCTATGTCTGAGTCTACTGAGATTGTGTTGTTTGCTTTTTAATAATTCATTGATTTGAGTCTGCGTAATATAGTAGAGGTGGAGGGATTTAATATTTGAAATGGAGGGAAGAATGAAAGGGGGAAAAGATACCTCCAAGCGTGGCCAAATAGTTGCATCATTAAAAACTCTATCAACAGTGTAGCAGTATGAAGATTAGCAAGTGATGCGGATGCTTGTTATTTGATGAAAATTGACGACGCGTAAAAAACGCCTTCAAGTGAGAAGATACTTCTTAGCGCGACCGCGCGGAGGCCGAATAGTTGCATCATTAAAAACTCTATCAACAGTGTAGCAGTATGAAGATTAGCAAGTGATGCGGGTGCTACTTGATGAAAATTGACGACGCGTAAAAAACGCCTTCAAATGAAAAGATACCTCCTAGCGCGGCCGCAGAGGCCGAATAGTTGCATCATTAAAAAACTATCAATTGTGTGAGCACGAAGATTAGCAAGTATGCTTGTTATTTGATGAAAATTGACGACGCGTAAAAAACGCCTTCAAGTGAAAAGATACTTCCTAGCGCGGCCGCGGAGGCCGAATAGTTGCATCATTCAAAAATCCAATCAAAAGCGAGTAGTTCGGTTTGCTCGAGATAATGATTTGATGAAAAGTGACGACGCAATCGGCAAATTGAATTCTCGTAAGAAATTGAGTTATTTTATTTCTTTCAAAAATTCTACACATCAATTCACATCTCAATTGGTCTGACACAATTTATATTTTCTGTTTCTGGTAAATTGAACAGTTTTTCAAAACTTAAGCAGCATCCATTATCAAGCAGGTTATTCTGGGAAGTATCAGATTGAAACCATCTTTATATATGTATTGAGCCCTCGAGACCGTGTTAAATATCGGTTACAAACTCAGAATAATGAATTCCAAGGGTTTGTATGTGTAAATTTTAACCGTGCACGAGGCTAAGGCTTATCAATCGAAAGAACAATTTCTAACGCCCAATCAAATCGCTTTGTTAAAACTACGATCCCAAGGGAAGGCTAAAGAGGAATAAATTATGACACGAAGACTACGCCATCTGAAAAACAAAAGACGGAGGCGGGAAAGTTCACAAATCAACTGAGATAAAAGACAAAAAAGTGAAGTGCTTTTTTCTTTTGTATCCAACTGCAAGACATTTCAATATTTCACTTTCTCTTCAGTCTTTTATGCCATCATTCCCCCAGCACGTCTTCGCGTTCGGTCCCTGCCCCTAATGACGAGTAATGTTTTCTGTTTCGTATCAAATTTTGCTCAGGACGCCTTTCTCATTTTCTTTCAACGCAGGTTCTTAGCAAATTTCAGCAACATCCCCAGTCTCATTAACTCTTCCCTTGAAAAAAAAAGAAGCTTTGGTGGATATCTTTGATTTGCCGATAACTTTTGTGTACTTATAAATTGTCTGATCGTTGACTTGTGGTTGTCGCATCAAATTTACCTAAAATTTTTGCATTATTTGTCAGTTTGTCAGTAAGACAAACGCAAACAAACACACTATGGAAATAAAGCGAGGGAAGGGATGCGAGTTTACGACGGCGCAGAGATACAACTATTCGTACTTGATGGATGTCCGTGCTGCATCTGAAAAATTGAAGGCGCGATGGCGAGAAGTGTGAGCTCTCAATGCTCTGCTATATGCTATCAATGAGGTGTCGCTCAGATTCGAGATAAAAGTTTAAAAAAGAAGCCCGAATAGAGTACATCTCTCCTACCTTCGACTGTGTTACTCACGTAGTGCTTGAACCACCATTACGAATAAGACAAACGCAAACAAACACACTATGGAAATAAAGGGAGGGAAAGGATGCACGTTTACGACGGCGCAGAGATACAACTATTCGTACTTGATGGACGTCCGTGCTGCATCTGAAAAATTGAAGGCGCGATGCCGCGAAGCGTGAGCTCTCAATGCTCTGCTATATGCAGGTGTCGCTCAGATTCGGGATAAAAGTTAAAAAAGAAGCCCGAATTCGTCTATCCTGTCTTCGGCTGTGGTGATACTCGTTCTTTCTTCTTTTTTCAGGTTCTTGTCTGATTCTTTTTTAGGGTGGATTTGCAGACCCACGTCTTATGCTCGTATAAATCGCAGCACTGGCTCGGTTATTTTTGAGATAATGGGGCTTGGATGCGTCTAAAGCTTTCATACTTTATGTTTTTATTTATTTCAGAAGTCTGCCGGTTACTTCAATACGTTCAATTTTGCAAGTTTTACTCTGTATTAATAAACTTTGAGCCTGAAAATAACCTAAACTTATGCTGCTTTGCCAAAATTTTCTGAACCCCTCTCCACGTAGGGGATGCCCTACCAAGGAATATCACATTACGCCCCTTTAACCAGCCAAGGGTCTACGCCCTCAGATGCGAGCCAGTCCGACCCTGCGGAAAGCTGCCCTACGTAAATTTTTGAAAACTCTCTTGATTCTTCCTCTATGCAAGCAGAATATTTTTTCAAGCCATGAAGTTAGCTTGTTCCTTTTTTAAAAATGAACTGGTAGCGAAAATTTTGAAACACCGCCATGGAGATATGTGATTCCGCACTTGGACCATCGATTCGTCACGCACTTGTTAAGCGAAATCCCGTATATTTCCTGGAGGGACTCAAGTAGAATTCGGGGGCGTCTGCCCCGGCCACCCCTGTTTCGACCGCGTTCGGGACCCCCCAAAGTGCGCTCGGCTCCCCCTCCCCCCCCCCCCCCCCTCGAGCCCGGAGCATCCCGCGATCGAGCCCCGCCGCGTAAACAGTCGTAAAAATCAGGGTGAAAAACGGTAGAAAAAGTAAAAACAAACACACACACAAGTGAACGGTGAAGTTAGCCGGTAGGCAATTACGAGAGCCGACAAATAATGAGAAAACAGACCGCCTCCTTGTGGTAGGTGCACGGGGAATCGCGGCGCGGCCGNGGGGGGGGGGGGGGGAGAGAAGGCCAAGGAGAGGATCAGGATCAACCCCCCCCCTTGCTCGGCGCCGAGGGAGGGGTAAAATGCAGGTTCATGCTCTCCGCGCTCCGACACCGGCCGCGGCGACGTCAGTGCACGAGAGACTCTCAACGGGGAACCTGCGTCGCGCCGAGTTTCATTTCCCGTCTTTCTCTGTTTATTTACACGGTTTTCCGACCTTTTTCTGTTTTGATACGAACCGGTCATCGGCCAATATTTTTTTACGGATTTTCCATTTTTCGTACCTCATCCAGCCGGTTGAAGTTGTTCCGGTGGCACGCGATTCATGAATTGTTTACATCTGGATGTTCGAAAATCGCCCGTTCGGTTTTGTAGTTCCTCTTATCTGTGACGCCCATCGACAAGTGTGATTTGATAATCAAAGTTTTGCCGCGATTTTTCGTGTGATTGCATCCAGCGATGAGGAAATCCCGGTCTGGAATTTTGGATTACTTCTGATGAACGTCCTGGAATGGCAGCATGTCTTCGATTTAACATCGGTGGAGTGGCATTGTTTTTTCGTTTGAAACCGCATTAAGCAAGTGTATCTCAAATCGCGGAAAGTTTTAAAGTATTCGGATGTTTTGTTGATCTTCGTTAATTCTCCTCGATGAAAGATTTTTCCAGTGTGATCGAGTTTAGTTTTCCGTTCAGTTGAATCCTGCCTCCTCGACCAATTCACCTTCGATCAATCCAGTTCTATTTATTTTTCCTCCTGATTATTTTTTCCGTATTTGAGCCCAGTTCTTACGGAAACAGTGAAAATCTTGCGTTTCATACTTTAACGTGATTACCTCTGGAATTATTTATTGTGTAGTGTTAGTGCCAAGTTTTTCCATTTGGAATCGCTTCGGAATTTTGGATAGTCCCTCATTCGCCCCTTCATTTAAAGGTGAGGTTGTGTTTTAACTATAGCTTAATTTGCTGAGTTTTTAGTTAATGGACTGACTCTGAGACCTTGAAAGGTTTTATTTATTTAATCAGTATGTCGGCACCCTGGTAAAAATTGGCAGTAGAATCTGTGTTCCAAAATACCACAGACCTACAGCCGGCTGTAAGATTTCCAATAGCTTCTATAGCCGGCTACACAATTTCTTATAGCCTTTTATAGCCGATGGCGACTAAGCAACAGCCAGGCGATAAAGCGTATGCTAAACGTTACTAATTACGGATGCTAGGACTTAGTGAGTTTTTGGAATGCTGCTCTCTTTTTGGGCCGTAGTATCTTGATTTATTTTGCGAGGAAAGCTCCGTACTTTTGATGGATTCCTGCCATCACAAATATATTAGAGCGTCTTCAGTTTCGTATGATACTGTGCAATACCTCTGGTGTGGAATAGTTGCTTCAAGCGCCGTGGCAGGCGGGTAGCCAGCGCGAAACACGCATTGGCGCCTACAAACCTAACAGGGATACTTCACGCGTTGCGCAATGCGTGAAGTATCCCTGTTAGGTTTGTAGGCGCCAGTGCGTCGCCGCTCCGCTTTCTGTTAGGCTCTAATATTTAATCTGTCGGAGTCAGCGTTATTCAACTCATGATTTTGAAATGTTTGCTCATCCTGTGTGGATTATTCTCATTTTAATTGATGAAAAAAATATGTATTAAAGGAAAATATAACGTGTGTTTTGTAAATATTAAAGTGGTTTCGTATCAAACTTAATGATTTCCAAAGCGCACGAAGTTCTACACAATTTTTATAGCCTTTTATAATCGATGGCGAAAAAGCAACAGCCAGGCGATAAAGTGTAAAGCCCGGCGGTAGGAACTATAGCCCGGCTGCATAATTTTTTATAACTTCGCAGAGCTCGGCCGTATGATTTTCTCCGCATTCTACAGCCAGCTGTATGATTTCCTGTAGACTTCTTTAGCCGGGTATAAGAATTCCTATGTTATTTTGAAACGCAGCTCTTATCGCCAATTTTTACCAGGGCAAAATCGACTATTCGATGTGATTCTTAAAAATCGAACTTGGGCTATCTAGGATGAAAATTAAGATATCTTTTCATCCATTTCAATTGTTTTCATCGATTCATCAAGACAATAGAACCGATGAAAGCCTCCAATATACGGGATTGCCACGGGGAATGCCATCGCTAATGCAGACTGTCCATAATCATCGAAAGGCCATCAGCCTTTTTTTGTACACACATCATTGATTTATCCGCGTCTATATGTTCTCATGACAAATATTTTATCTAGCGGTTAAAGGCAGACGGAGGTGTTCCGACAAGGGTCTGTTTTGGACCCAACCTGAATTTCCTCAACTCAACAATTTTTGGCTCATTGAGGTCTACATTTCAAGATATTCATCATGATTTGGTCTCTTTTCGTGTCCGCTGCTGGCCTGAACATGGGTCTGAAGGCCGATTTTGGCGAATTATGCGAGTTTTGCGGGTCTGCGTTCAAATGCCAAAAATTGCGCATTTTTCCTTAAAACGGCCTTTAGGACAACATATGTTTAGGCCAACACTGGACCTGGTATGAGACCGGAACTGTCCAAATTGATGTATTCCGTGAAATATAGACCCTCAGAAAGTAAGACAGCCTAGTTTTGAGGAAGTTCAGAAAGGATGCGCTGAAAACATGCCCTTATCGACGACCTTCTTTGCTTAGAATTTGTAGGTCTAACACTTTATATTCTCCTCCTAAAAGTATACTAATGAAGATGACAATCCATCGCAATGGAAAGTTTTTCCGTGGAAACAAAATTTTTAGTAGAGTGGTTTTTGTTGAATCGGGTATAAAAATTAGATTTCTAAGTTTCGGCGGAAAATTGGAATTTCTTGAAGTGTTAGCGAACGATCATTCACCCCTTTCGTCAATCGAGTGTGTATCCAAATCGGGCAATTTGGTGTCTCAGAAATGGTGAATTACGATTTTAAATTGATTTTCCTTTAAGTTAGGTAATTTGTTTGCAATTGAAGACTTCAAACAATAATAGGTACCTCCGGTTTGTTTTTTCCCCCAAAACGTTTGCCAAACTCTTTTATCTGTTCTGATATCATAAAGTAATTCCGAGTTTCGGAGACCAGTTTATTGGGTGTTTTTTTTTTCGTATTGTCAAACAACGTTCTTTTGAAGGTACTTCGTACTTTACTAACCATAAGCAGTGTGTCCCAAAGGTTGCTTTTTATTTTCCAGTGGGACCCTTAATCCTCCCTCGCGCTTGGTTAAAATTATTCATGGTAATCTCTATGTAATTTTCCCCGTCGAAAAATAAATAGATCAGTGGAACTGGGTGAGGAAAAGCTGAGTCCAAAGTAGTAATTTTTTTGTGTACGGGAAGATAATGTCGTCCAAATCAATCTGAACGTTCGATGAATATGTTCTGCCCTTGTAACTTCTCTAGAAATAGAAATCAAAATTATCGTTTGCCCAAACAAATGTTAGCTATTGTAACAAAAATGCCACTTGTCCGCAAACAAATTCCACAGTGAGGAGGTTTCATTGAACTTGATCATTTAATTGAAACAGAATGTTGTCGTCTGAACGTACGCATCTGATCGCCTTTCGGGTAGAAATGAGTTATTTCGAAGATGTAAAGTCTCTATTTGTTTCTAACTAATTAATTTTTTCTAATGATACAAAAGATACGATATTCAAGTTACCATTGCAATTAACCAAGTCCCTAGAATGTTATCGCTGCTGTCACTCGAAAAAATGTTACGTAGTGGTAGCAAGTGCAGTATAAAGACTGAGCTGAGCTTCCGTTATTACCATTATCGGATCAAAGTACAATCGATAAAAATTAATCACGAGTTGTACTAGGTGCTTCATTGACTTTCTTGACGCTAAAATTACGAGGACATTTTCTGGGGATCATCATATCAGTATTTAATTGTTAAACAGCCAAACGCCTAATTGGTTCCTTATCCCTTTTAACGCATCTCTCCATGCAAGGAGAATGAAAAGAAACTACATTATATTAAGCGTCGGTTCTGTGGAAAGTAAAAGCTTTTCCGTCCGAAATAAAGCGGAATGCATTCAGCCCCACAATCGGCCTGAGAGGGATACGGGTCATTTCAGGGATTATTTTATAACCCTGGAGAAGTAATGGGGGAAATCGTGGAATTCTCTCAAGAAGTGCAATTGTAAACTGAGAAAATGTGGTCAAAGTAGTTTCCGCACCGATGATGATGATGATTTGCATCATGATCTCATGCAAAAAACCAGACAAATTTTGGACAAAGATTGCGAAGGTTCGTTTCCGAGAAAAATAAAAAAAAAATTGAGTCAATTTCGCAACCTTACGTTCCTCCATGAAGGAAACTATGAACTTTTATGTTGTACAAGTTAACTACAACCAGAGAACTAAGTACACTGCACAATCTTAGCATCATTTAAAGCCTAATGAGCCCTTTTACTGGAAAATGTCCCTATTTTTCAATTGATTCTCATAAGCGAGTCCGTAGTTACCGCTCTGCACCGTCCGTCTGACGATATCAATATCTCACCAGAAACAGGATGCGTCAAGGACCACCGTGCTTGGAGAGGCGAGCTTTTAATTTACCGATACGCGACGCCGCGCCGGGAAAGCACGCCGCCACTCGCACACGCTCGCACCTATGACGGATATAAAGCACTGGCGCCTGTTAAATGTTTCTTGAAGAGGGTAGATAGAGATAACCGTGGCGCGGCGCCGGAACCGAAGGCCCTCTCGATATTCGGAGGAAAAGGGCTGCAAATCGGCCCGGGCAGATCAACCCCGCGCGCCCCTCCCCCGCGCGCCCCTCCCCCGCGGGCCACCCCCTTAAGAAAACTAATCTCCATCGGAGCCCCCGCTAAAGAAAGCTGCTAAGCTGCACGCTTTGATTTATACGCCCCGCGATAAATGCGGAACGTATGTTGCCCGCTCCGCGGGATGGGGCTCCCCGCTCGAGTCGCAGATTTTCCGGGTAATCTTTTATTTTCCCAGAAACGCCTGCACGCGGGTATTATTTCCTCCGATAAAATTCAGCTTGCGTCCTTTATTTCTCACATCGCGTTATCTCCTGTGTGTGCGTGTATGTGTGTGTGCCGGGGAGGAGGGAAGGGGGAGGATGAACCCGACACCCTTTGCGCTTTTATCGCCAGATGCCGTCCAGGAACTTTCCGACACAGCGATGTGCTGTCTCACGTGGTGTGGCGATTTTTTTCTCTCTTGCCCCCGTCCCCTTTCTTCAGAGCAGCTGAGGCAAATCGAGGGATTTCGTTCCGGATGAGGTTCGGATAGGATAGGTTTTAAGGACATTCTGGCAATCTTGGTGTCGACTAACCCATCGTTCGCCAAAAGCTTTATGTTGTTTGGAGTGTGAGCGAGTGAAGGTTTCTAGAAATTGAAGCATTTCTTGGATGAGGCATCAGTGTCATTTCAAGTGGAGAGCTGTTGGATATTTAACTAAAAGATGACGTCTAGTAAGATAAGCAGCAGTGGTTACAATGGGTGTCCCATCGGCAGAAATCATCAGAGAAAATTATTTCGGGCTCCCTTTACTATTTTGTTTCCAAATAGACCTGGTTTGTTGATAGACCCTTGATCTAGCCAGGCGACGAGGTTGAGTTTTGGCTTCTAGGACACTCAGCGCGTAATGTCATGATCATGATAATTGAAAGAATGTATTTATTCTATCTATACCTATAGAGTTGAGTTTAACGTACACGAAACACTCTCAAAGGATCTACTTTTCTTTTCTTTGAATTCTTCACGCAAAAAAAATTAGTCGGTGCTGATGACAGAAATTTCTGTTCACAGAGCTCCTGCAGTTTATTTCTTATACTTACATATTTTTTCTGTTTCTGAAAACTTCGGTCGTGGGCACAGCGTGTTCTGTCTTCAAAACGGAAATTCTGTAACCGTTAAAAGGAAATTGCAGGAGTCCTGTGAACAGAACTAAGTTTTTCAGTGTTAAAACGG